AATTAAATCCTGATTAATGCTGTTAATGATCATAGTGCCACATGTCAATCAGCTGGCAATATATGCAATTAGACATGGCATAGCCACAGCGGGGGCGTAGGTGGAGGGACTGTACTCTACGGGATAATCCCAGCTGTGGAGTGTGCCCAGTGAGGTGCACATAATTTATGCATTGTCCCAGGAGGAAAGTGGGTCTCCACTCGAGCAGAAGATGCTGAGGAACGAGACGGGCCGCACGGCGGGGGACACCCCGGTCGGGCCGCACGGCGGGGGACACCCCGGTCGGGTCCAACACGGTGTTAGAGATGTTGGTTTGGCTAAAAAATGGCCAGGGAAAATACTCATCCTCAGTCCACACCTGAAACATCCAGACACTCCCCAAACCTCATAGTTTGTACTTTAATATAGCTACTCAAAATTCTATTATTACTATTGAAAAAAGAGAGAGAGAGAGAGAGAGAGAGAGTACAGCTGCGCTTTCATGACATAGTGCTGTCAGTCAGAGACTTTTATTTGATTTTTTTATTGAACAGTGTTTCATTGAGTAACTTTATGTCTGTAGTCCCTGGACTGGAACCACAAAATCACACCATTTATTAAAAATGAACCACACGCTTTACTGTAAATAAATGAAAATAATACAAAACACACAATTATATAGCACACCAATCTAAATATATATAGCTATATATACTAAAAACATATACTGTAGGTAATTGACCTGCTTTCTCCTGTTATTGTGTCACTGTTATTGAGCAATAGCCCTCATGGGGCAATGTAAAAAGGGTTACATTTTATTGTGTATTTTTTCTGAAGCCAATGACATAATACTCAGTCTATGTAATATTCAGCCCTTCCTGCGAGTTGAACAAGTGTGCTATTTCCTGATCAGAGCTAAATCTATTGGCTCCCATCCTTGTGACACAAAAATGACAACACCTTAGCAAGATCTCAACACCTCAGCCTGTACTGTTGCTTGCTTTAAGCTATTCCACGGAAATACCACGCTCCAAAAAAAAACAGTTTCCAAATTTCAAAGCGTTTAGCTTTTACCATAAAAACGCACAATGTACCTACTATACTCCCTTTCAACAATTCTGATTCCCTTCTGGAGTACAGAATTAATATCAGCAGAAAAAAACAGGTGACAAGCATCTTTGTGTTATCCCGAAAGAATACAGTTTAAATGACTGTTATCATTTATTGGACGTTTGTGGCAGGAAGATCACTGCTCTCTGAAACATGACAGATGCCAGATTCTCCGTCTCCACAACCTGATGTTAGTTCGGACTGTTTATGACTCAAGAACTTCACTCATTTTCACGTAACACATATCTGCTACACAACTAAGGTAGGAACATCAACTCTGCCCTAGGTCTTGCTTATAACCTTCTGTATCAGAGAGCTTTTATTTTCGACTTTCCTGTGCTGGGATGAAGGGATATCACTTAGCGTCTGTATAATCATGCCAAACTGGGCGTGTTGGATGTCCAGACCTGAAGAAATACATTTCCCAGTCTGAATTTGAAAAATCAAAAATCAATCAGGCCTACACAACAGCTAGGTAAAATTTTTAAATTACTCTTGAAAATACGCACAAAATATTCTTCTTCAGTAGCTACTTCGCTCCTGATGCTATTTTCTTGTACAAAATGTGCTTCAGCTTAAATATGATATTGTTAAAATAACTAGACAATGGCTGAATGGCAGAAGATGCTGCACTTGTGAAATGTCACAGTAATTTGTTTCATGTAAGTAATTACAGAACTGACAACTCTGCCAACAAACTGTTTCAAATACAAAGCACACTCTGCTTGAGTAAACAGAATCATTGTTTCATGTATGATTAGGAAATTCAGCATGACAGTTTGTCTTTGATGGGCTTTTCACCTCACTGATAATTAGTCTAAGTTACATTTCAAATTGGCTGTTAACTGAATATTTCAAATGACATAATTTAACAGCTGCACCAATTTGTCTGTGAATTCAAGAATGTGCATTCAAAGCATTTATATGTTCTTTGATAGTTGCCCACGATTAAGACAGCAGTTCCACTGTTATTGTATAATTATCAGAAGATGCTTGAATTTCACCAGACCATCAAATTCATGAACACAGGATTCAGCTGTCAATTCCTCGGTTTAAGTTACAACATTTCTTAGGCAATCAAAATATTAAGTACATTACACATCTCTTAATAATGAAATTTAAGAAAGTATTTATGCTAGTCAATCTGAACAAGATACAACTGCGGTTATTTTTAACAGAACAAGGTGGAGCTTTTGTGTATAAAGGGATCAACTTCTCATCAGAAGTTGGGAATATTCCATTCTGTGGAGTTTTTGTCCCACAACAATGACACAGGTGACATTGCCATTTACTGGAAGAATAAACCGTACAGCGAACTGGCAGATCCACATGCCGGATTTCCTGGAAATGTTAGAACAATCACACAATTTACTCACAAACCAAATTACCAAACTTAAGAAAAGCAGGTGGTCTGACTATAAATAGCTTCATCAGAATTTCTGTGTCTCGTTTCATTCCAGTGATCACTCAGTTCCCAACGGAAGGTTATTCTTTGCAGAAGTGAGGGATGTTTTGTCACATTTAATTAACATTTCTTCCAAAACCTTTACAATATTTAATACCGTCCTGGGACAGTTCTCCCGCTGTGATTCTTCTGAGTTCCCAAAAAACAAACAGCCTTATCTAGAAGCTTGTCGGCGTCAGTTTCTCCACAAGAAGCAAACATATTACCGTGCACAAGGTGTTTGGCAGCTGTATGCCGCAGCCTAAATTAACGAGAATGTCTCTGAAAGTTCAAAGCGAAAATAAAAACAGGAATTAAGCAGACATGGTGAAACGCAAGAAAAACAGTCAAGTGAACTGGGAGGCAAATACAACTGACTGCTAAGTCTAACTGTTCTGAAGTTTTATTGTAACGAACATTTCACAGTGAGACGTCACCTTTCTAATCTTCTCAGGAAACATGAAAAAGACGTTAAACTCAGCAAAGAGAGGAACCGCCAATGCTATGTCGTTTCATGGATTACTTATGTGGGTGTCCATATATAGAACTTTAAATGTGTATATAAATGCAAACTGAAAGTGAAAGGGAATCTGTACTCATTTGCTTTATCGTTTCTCTCTCTCTGCCGTTCTCCCTTCCCATCACGATGGCCATTCACAGAAGTTATGTAAAGTCCTTAGATACGGCCTCGATGAAGTTGGGTGCGGACATGAGGATGGTGAAGGTGCAGATGATGGAGAAGAGTGTGAAGGCCACCAGGCAGAGGCGGTCCACCACCGCTGCCGCAAACTTCCACTCGTTGCAGATGGCCTCCCCCTCGTCCTGGTCCCTGAAGCGCTGGGCGATGTACTGCACCTCCTCCAGGATCTTGCCAATCTCCTGCGCGTGTTCCCCCAGCGGCCGGGGCAGCTCCCGGTCCTCGGCCGGCGAGCCGGGACTCCGCCCACACATGACGCCTGAGTCGCTGCTCGGGGGGAAGCAGGGGTTCTCCACCGTGTGGTAGCTGTAGTAGATGTTCATATTGCCGTTGCTGCTGCTGCTGGCCATCTGGCTGGGAACAGCGTTCATCTCCATGCTACTGCTGCTGGAGCGACGTTGGAGGGACGGGGGGCTGTACCTGTATCCCAGGATCTTCCGGTCCTCCCCGGGCTGCTTCATGCGTAGAAACCAGGCGCACCAGTTTAACAGGACCACCCTCACCTGGGGTCCAGAAAAACCACAGAGAAGGACAACGGGATCAAGCCACGTCAAGAACACAACATACCCTTAAGCTCACCTGGGCTACAGTAAAACCACAGAGATGGACAATGAAATCAAGCTAAGAAGATTCAAGAACATAACATTCCCTTGAACTCACCTGGACTCCGGCAAACCACAGACAGAGAAGGACAATGGGATCAAGTCAAGGAAACTCAAGAATCCAAAATATCTTTAAAATTGTTATTGATTGCATTTCAGTGCAATAATGAATGAGCAAGGTGAAAACCACTTCTCTCGAAGATAATGGATGCTCATGTCACGTTTGCCAGAAAGCTACCTTCTGGAATAATGCTCTATAAACAGATGAACAAAGAGTGGATCTTTTTTAACTTATGTTCTTTGTGATGGAAATTCAATGTCATACTGCACAATAAGAACCTCACACAATAAAAAAAGTCAAGAATGATACTGTTGGGTCGGTAGTGTCATGGATTGGGGAAACATTTCTGCAAGAGGACCCTGACAATGTGCCATCACTGATGGAACCACCAATTCCACTTTGCACAAGAGAATCCTATGAGGGAATTTCAATCCATCCATCCATAAGACACAGCTTGATCATTCAGGACAATGGCTGAAGACTGTAAACTACTGTATATATACATTCTTATTGAGAAAAACAAAGCTTTGACTTAAACCCCAATGACATGTATGAGTGATTCATGCTTGCCGGCCCACAGGCATTGCTGACGTGAATCAGTTCTGCATGGACGATGGGTGAAACATCTGCCCGGAAGCTGTGACAGATTGATCGATAATCAGGAACATTCAGTTGCAGTGTTTGTTTCCAGGGAAGACATAGCCAGTCAATGAGTGTCAAACAGTCACACTGTGGCATAACTTTCTTTACTAAATCAATAACATAAGCATTAGAAGTTGTGTTGTTTCCTTCAGTACTCATCGAAGGTCATAAGGTAGGCAAGCTCGACTGCCGGCTCCCTCCATCCGATACAAAGTAAAATCAGCTTGCTAAGTCGGCGCCCCCTCAGAAGACGGTGCCCTAGTTGGCTGCCTATGTGGCTCATGGGAACAAAAATGTTCTGAGGGCAGAAGGAAAAATGATTGGTTTAGAGAGATAACCAATCAGACTGTAGAGGAAGTGGGTCCAAGCAATTAGAGGAGGCAGGACCAAGCCATTTGATTGGTTGGTCCTACCTTTGCTAATTGCTTGGACCCACCCCCTCTACAATCTGATTGGATATCTCTCTAAACCAATCATTTTCCCTTCTGCCCTCAGGACATTTTTCTATAAGTAAAACTCCCAGAAACGCCTGTATCGCCTAATGAGTTGACTGGCACTGCTTTCTTTTCAGCTATTACTTTTACGACCTTTGAATGAAGATCAATTACTGTTCGGCCGCTTTCATGTCAAACAAATGCAAACACGCAGAAAATAAGGGATGGCGTGCCTTTCCCTGGTATTCTACATGGGCTGAGGACTGCGCGTGTATGACTAATGGCAGCTAGATTCCTTCATTATTCTTCACTTCACTGGGCAAACCTTAATGAAATGTGCATGATTGATTGCTGAAATGGTCCAACCCGTAATGCATAAAGGAGGTACTGGAACTACATGCTCAATATTAAACCAGATCGCATTTGTCAGGGGCGCTAAATCGCATGGAGCACGTCGCAGAACTCGCTGAGCCTGACATAGAGTGTCTAAGGTGACTAAATATCAGCATTACGTTGCGTAATATTTTTACCATCATTTTTCAGACCTTTTGACTGGCTTCCTATGTGTATTAATGCGTCTGAAAAAAAAAAGATCAGCATGCTTTATATCAAGAAGAATCAGCCACTGTATGCATCACACTGTAAAACACGACACATCACTGTTTTGGCGAACGGAACATGGTTGTCCTCTTACCCCACAAGCAGACACAGTATGAGAAAGCTGCGGATGACTATTGGACCAGGATATAAGATACTAACATCTGCAGACTTACCCATTTTGGCATCTTTCCACCTTGAGGATCATGATGGTGGAACTGAAGAACCAGCACCGTGACCACCACAGAGAAGCCCACGATCATCATGATGCTGGCAAAGTATTGTGCTGGAACCGCACAAAGCACAGTTAACAAAGAACTGCAGGCATCCAACAGATATGTATATAAGCGTGTATGAAAGACGTGGATAGATATTTGGAAAGAGGGTAGCATTTTTGGGAGTAAGAAACATGGAACATCTTCCCATGCTAACAGGCATCTGTGAAACGCTTTATAAAAATATTTCTGGGGGTAACGGGCACAGAACATCTTCACACATACATGACACTGTCTGTTAAGTTAAGTTGTTTCTCAACCCAGTCATTAGGGACCCCCAGACGGCCCCCACCCCCGGCTCCTAGCGCACCTACACCCGGTTCAGGTGTGCTGGGAGGGAGCGAAAATGTGGACTTTGTGGGGATCCCCATGGATTGGGTGGATTGGGCAGTGGTGTCTTAATGGTTAGGGAAGCGCACTTGTAATTGAAAGATTGCTGGTTCGAATCCCTGACCAGCAAGGCACCACTGAGGTACCCAGAGCAAGGTACCGCCCCCAAGCACTGAATTAGCTGCCCCCTGCTGTGTCACGACGTCACATATGGGTTAAATGCAGAGGACACATTTCGTTGTTGTGTGCTGTGGCGTGTCAACACTGATCTCTAAATTCTAAACATTTTGTTAAGATCTGATGCCATGCTGGTGCATTGGTGTGTTGTTTGTCACTGTTTAGAATTTGTAACTGAAACCCAAGAACAACAACCCACAGTAGAATGTAGATGATTGGCATTTTCTAATGTTCATTGTGCAATTTCAGCAGAAAAACACACACAGAAAGTTTTAAGGCATCGTGGGTGAAAACACTGAAAGAATCTTTCAGAAGCTTGCAGAAAGAACACAAACTTTACTGAAAGCTTCCCTTTCCAGCTGTACAAAGTTGTGCATTTCATGTTTCATCAATAGTCATGACCCGTTATTTTCAAAAGTTATTGTCGTTAATTTTTCAATCGCTTTTTTTCCGGAATATTTAGAAATATATACAGAATAAATAAAAGAGCAAACAGTATCCAATTTAATCCTGCCTCTGTGGGAAGAGTATTAAACTCTCCATCGCATTCTCTCTATTTCACAGTTGGTTTAACATTTAGTTTCTGCTCAGTGACAGTTTTCAAGACAAACTTCTAAGATGCCAGGTCAGATGAGCTTAGGGAGTCAGCAGCTTTTTTCACATTTGATTTTTCCAAGTGACAGAAGAAACTGAGAGACAGTTCATTTAGAAAAGGCACCACAGAATTATTATACGGCCATAGAGACAGCAATAACGGATTAATTTAATATCTGTCACACTTTGTTAGCTAATGATGTTATAGCGAGTCAGAGGAGCCTGGAAAGCAAGTCTAATAAAAATTAGATATTTAAAAATGATCTAAAATCTGACAACTTGGGGGAAAATAGTTCAACAGATTTTCGAATTCAACTTTGCAAGAGATTGATTATTAGAACGACAAATTTCCCTGTTTCATTTCATTTCCATTCAAGACAAGTTATAACAGCTTTAATCGTGTGCAGCTCACATTATTGCCAATATGTACTAACACACCAGAATCTTTTGTGCTTCGGTGCCAAGCTTGGACTACATAACAATGCTACAAGACAGACAGGAGACACACTGCAGAACACAGTGGTGGATTCCCTCCACCTCTCCGGAACGTCCCACTGACCCTGATTCGTTTTACGTAACCTCCCCTTTAAGGCTCATTAAGATGGCGTGATGTATGACTGTCTCATGTGTTCTCATCGCCATGGATACGGTGAGACGCATGAAAATACCCAGCAGTGTAGCTACCAGGCAACTTCAGATTGGATACGTAACAGTAACTGGAAAGCTTTATAGTCTCCCAGTCAGCTCAGTTCATTCTCTTTCCCTTTTTTTTGGGTTCTTGACACGTTCGGAGACCTTTAAAATCCATACTCTTAGAACTTTTCTTTAGGTAATTGATTTCTTCTGTCAATCTCCTTTTCCAATTTTCTCGGCAAACAATCCTGGCATCAGGGTCTGAAATTCAGTGCTGCAATTCCACGCAGGGTCAGCACTGGGGTATGGACCGCCCCCTGTTTGCGAGAGCAGCTGACTGCCTGATCCCTTTGTCAGCTTAAAGCAAGTGACACATTCACCAAAACCCATTAACACCAATAATACTGCAGACAAAAAAAAACAACCCCTGAATTTGCAGGCAGAACTTAATTTCATACCAACGCGATGCTCCGAGTGAAAGATACATTGCTGGTTGTGTAACAATTATCTTCAGTAATTAGAGGAAATTTCAGTAACTGAAAAATGCGATGCATAACGTTTTTGAAGTCTTTAAGGACAGACTTACCAATGAGAGGCACAGAGTCAGACGTAGCCGGCATAATTTCGGCCACCAGCAGCATGAACACAGTCAAAGACAGAAGAACCGTAATTCCTGTGAAAACAAAAGTCAAGCATCCTTTGCCACTTTCCTGGAAACCACAAAAGAGTCTTTGACTCTTTATTATATATATGCAAAACATATATAAATCTTATTATACTAACCTTTTACATTAGATACATTTTCAGGTTCTGATCAGTTCAGTCCCATATCAAAACGTCATCAATGTAAACCTACCTGGTCCAAGATCTGCTGAACTTTCTTACAAAATGCGTCAGGAGACAGAATCAGTCCGAAAGGAACACATGTGAACCTCAACTCCCCAGACAGGGTAGTGAAGGTTCAGAGTGTGGAACTCCCCCATTCAGACAGGGATCTGAAGGTATAGAGTGTGGAACTCCCCCATCCAGACAGGGATCTGAAGGTACAGAGTGTGGAACTCCCCCATCCAGACAGGGTACTGAAGGTACAGAGTGTGGAACTCCCCCATCCAGACAGGGTACTGAAGGTATAGAGTGTGGAACTCCCCCATCCAGACAGGGTACTGAAGGTACAGAGTGTGGAACTCCCCCATCCAGAAGCCAAAGCATCTAGTTTTGCGAAGTATTTTGGGACTGCAATGTCACAAAAAAGTTGTCATCTTATCAGCGATATGTAAGGTTGCTATTTCGCCTTTTACTTCATCTCATTTTTTTAATCTGTGCATTATCTCATGAGCCCCTTTTCTATCCATTTCTATGAGCGACTATACCCACTCAGCTGGCTCTTTGACAAGGCCGTCGGTTTGGGTATGGGCTGTAAGGACATGTCCGCACCAATATTTTGGAATGCCGTGTCTTTAGGCGGGAAGTGGGTCCGGGACTGACTTAGCCCATACCCCTGTTGGTTCCTACACCCTTACGTTTCAGCATTATCCATTGCTTATTGGGATTCTAGGCTTTGCAACTATGCCGTTAGCCTTTAGCTTCTCCCATAGGGCTTGGGACACCCTTCCTGCAGCATGGGTAACTGCTATATTCGGCTTTTCACGCTCTATTCTCTGTGTTAGCATTGTTAGCATTCACACTGGAAATTAAGCAAGCGGGCAGAGATTCAGCGATGGGAACACGGCACACAAACACACCGTCAGCGCTGCCACCTGTGGTTTCCTTCAGCACCTGTGGTGCCTGTGTCCATTACTGAAGGCTAGAAAACCACATGATTAGTGAAAGGTGAGCTGTCTGTTGCTAGCGTACTCCTGATGCTCTTAGCCTCAAAATACACGAGTCTAAGGTTTGGAAACACCTACTGAAAATCATTTGTTTTTCAACAAGTTAACGACCCTCAGTGCACATCAAGGTTATGTCATAAATATTATCTTGTGAACAAGCAAAGAGATGGAGTGCAGTGACAGACGACGTGACCCAACAATCCCCCGACCTAAACCCTTATAGAGCTGCTTTGGGATGAGTTGGTTCGAAGAGTAAGAGCAAGAAAGCCAACTTGTGCCCAGAACGTATGGAAACTCCTTCAAGACTATTAGAGGTGGATAAATCTGCAAGCTGGCTGAAAGAATGCCAAGATGTCATCGAAGCAAAAGGGGGCTATTTTGAAGAGTCGAAAATTTTTAGATGCTGAACACTTCTGTTGGTCATTCCAATATTTGATATGTATTACTTCATTGCCATCAAGGCCTTTTACTAAATGTTGAATAACACAGCTAAAACAGAGACAAATGCATCAAAAGCACAGAGTACAGATAGAGTCTGGACACCTAAATTAACTACACCTAAATTAAGTACTTGATGTAGCTAAGCAATGAAGAATAAAAAAAACAGGAGCTTCTAGATCCATGTCTACCAGTGCTGAGATGGGCATCACCATCTCTCAGCAAGACATTTGCCCCAAGGGAGAGAAGGTTACTATGAAGCACAGAGCAACTCACCCAGCGAGATCTTCTCGCCGGAGTCGGCGGGGAGCAGGAAGACGAGCAGGGCGAGGCCGGAGATGAGCACGCAGGGGATGAGCAGGTTCAGGCCGTAGTAGAGGGTGCGGCGGCGCATCACCACCGTGAAGGTGATGTCGGGGTAGGGCTCCTTGCAGCACTCGTAGTAAAGCTCGTTCCTCTTGGCCGGCACTTCTGCGATCGCATTAATGGTCGCAGGAAAACCATTACCATCTGTTTTCACGACCGTCAACAAAAAAGATTCACTGTCTTCTCGGTAATAATGTCTGAATATTTTAAGCTAATGTTCTGTGTTTCTGTTTGCATCCCTCTCGATCATTAATTATACATGCTGCTGCCTGTTTAATAGGGAAAGCTGTAGGAAAACTTAATATTTTTCACTTGTCCTCAGAGTTCACCATAGTTCATTTGAGAGAAATAATTTGCTTAATCAAATCAAGTCATGGCCCAGTTGTAACTGTTTTGGGAAACTCCTCGATTACCAGTCATTTTGAGGTCTCGATTAAAGTTAATTCGGCACACTATGTGATTAAGGAGGAAAATATTCAAGTTGCGAACTATTTTAATTGCATCTTGAATGCAATTAATATGAAAGTATTAACATGTTGATTAGCTAGTGGTCCCCTTCAGTTTTAAATATGAAAGCATCCATAACTGACCTGTCTTCCTCTCATTAAATTTAGTAACATGCTTTGTTTCATTTGTCTTACCATGCAAAGTGTCTTATAGACATATGACTGGGGACAAAAGTCCCAAAATGACAACCTTTGTCAAGTTAATTCTTAATGAACGGCAGCTTCAAGGCATCGGCAGAGCGGTGACTGCGAGGAATACAACACTCAGCCATAGCTGGTACTTCTTCAGTTCACAGAAGCTGGAATGTCCTTGGAGACTCCAAGAGCTTTAGATTAATTAATCGACAAGATGAAAAGAGAGAAGATTTCTAAAAACTAGGAAAACTCTCCTATGTACATTAGTTTCCAGGATACATCTACACATTAATAGGTAGTATTGCCACAAGGCTAAATGGGCATTTCTATCAGTGCTCATTGATGGGAAGAGAACAGATGGTAAGAGAAGGAAACAGACAAGCTTCCACACCAACAAGGTCCCATTCTCCATTGGGGATGTAGGTAGAGGTGTCCACGGCAAGTATCTGCAAGTCAAGCAGCCAGCCGTTGTGTGTCCAGGAGCCGAACTTGAGGTCACATTTCTGCACGTCGAAGGGAAACCAGCGCACGTCGATGTAGCAGGTGCTTTTCAAGATCCCTGCGGGGCACAAGACGCTGGTGACATCCATCACATTGTCGGTTGACCAGTTGACCAAAGGGATCTTAGCGGTAGCCCTGACTAATGCTAACACTACATTCGCTAGCACCAAAACACTGGCAAATGCCTTCAACACTTCCGGGAACGTTCATGTAGAGAACGGCCAAAGATCTTAAATGTACCACTGGACAAAATATGTCACATTTAGTTAGGACTGAAGGCCCTTGAACTTCAGGGACCCTCACCTGGAGGAATGTACTGGCAGTACCCTGAAGCATTGACCAGGACGTTGGTGTGAAATGTGGCATCAAACCTTTCATCTGCACTGGAGGTAAGACAAAACAGGACAGACAAAAAGCAATTATGGGATTTGCATCCCTGCTCAGAGAAATCTCAATACATATGAATGATACTTATCTTGAGTTTTCATTCAACCTGAATATCGTTCATTCAACCCGAATATCATACATGAAAAACGTTTTTTTTTTATTAATCTGAGACAATGCATTCCATCTGGTCCCATATCTCAGTGTCACTGTCACTTCCAACTTGCCTTATGTAGTTAATCAATATCTGATTACAATCTCGTCAATCGTAAGTTCAATTCTAATTAAATGTTTTATATATTTATTTTGCTCTTTCAAATTTCTGGAATATTGACAGCTTTTGTATTCCGTACATTTCATATGCCTGTTCCTTTCTGTAATTATTCAAGGTCTTCACTTTGGAATGCATTCTTCCGAGACATCTTTTGTCTTTCATTTCAGATTTTTTCTTCTGTTTTCATTTTCCATAATCACTTATCCAGTACACAGTCACACTGGGCCTGCAGCCTTTCCCAGAAGCAGCTGGCACAAGGCAGGGTATCACCCAGGATGGGATGCCAGTCTATTGAATGGCACACCATCAACTTCCGAGGGATCTTTAATGACAGTAGAGCACCTGGAGGAAACCACCACAAACCCCACACACAGAGAGCCTGGAGGGAACTCACACAAACCCAACACACAGAGAGCCTGGAGGGAACCCACACAAACCCCACACACACAGAGCCTGGAGGGAACCCACACAAACCCCACACAGAGAGCTTGGGGCTGCAATCAAATCCACAACCCTGGAGAGTTTACACTACTGTCTCGCTGTAGTGTTTTTCAGATTTTTGGTTGAATAATGCATTTCCAAACAAAAACATAGGGTTTCTAAAAGGTGACAGTAAACGCAGAAGCCGGGAAGCAGGAGAACAGAATTATACAGGCCTTAATATCCCAAGATGTAAAAGACAGAATGAATGTCAAATCCTGAGCACTCATACCACAGCATTCCTAGCTGGAACGCAGAGTACCTCCCGACAGACGGCTGCCAAGAAACACCAAAGTGAACTTCTTGAGGCGTTTGAGAGTGACGTAATGTCAGTCTAGGGAGGAGATGAACATCCCGGCGATTCAGAAAGGAGTTTAGAGCGAAGCTGATCATAACAGATAGGAGACCACTGTCACATGACCGGCGCTCTCGCTGCTCCTGTTTATTTGGCTTCTTACATTTGGGCTGTCGGGACTGAGATTGTGTAGCAAAGGCATCATTCGTAGATTCTAGAAAGTCATCGTTAATGTTGTGGATTACCCTTCCGGTCTTAATTAATGTGTTTCCACTTAATTAACTTCTATTTAATGAGTGAATTCGTTTGTTTTGGGTGTGGCATGATAGACCAATAAGGAATCTCACCTCTCAGGCCCTGTCTCCGCTCCGTCCGAGTGTGCATGTTCTCCCAGGGATTGTGAGTGTCTTCCCGCAACCCAAAATCATCTAGCTACATGAATTAGGCTACGTTCACACTACCAAGCTCAAGTCACTCAAATCCCACCAAAGTGACTCAGATCTGACTTCTTTCCGAGCTGTGTGGACACACAAATCCAGTGTTTTCACATCAGATCTGAGTCACTTTCATATGTGGCCCTACATCAGATACGTATCTGATTCATGGCCATGCGACATGATTGAGAACAGTCAGATCAGAATTCATGTGGTTTTTTTCTGCCTATACACATACACTGAGCCCTGTTGTCATCAGTCAGCATGTTCGTTGTTGCTGACGCTGATGACTTGTGCGAAAACATATCAATGTGAACACACATGCCGTTTCGGTGGACAGATGCGTTCACATTACAGTTAAATACAGGTAACATAATTGTGAATGTGAACCATCAAGACAGGCAAATCCGATCTGAGCAAAAACATCAGAATTGGACAATGAGGTTTGCAATGTGAAGGTAACCTTGGTGTCTTGAAATTGCCCGTGGTTCAGGAGTAAAAGTGGATTTCATGCAATGGACTGGCTTGCCCTTTGTCCCGGAGACAGGTACCGGAGTCACCACAACCCTGCCCTGAATAATCAGTCCAATTTATATTTACATATCTATACACAGTTGCCCTAAGGCACTTAACACTAGTGTGGATCATTAGTGTAAAAAAAATGGATTGATTTGTTATACAGGGGAAAATCATTATGTATATTTTTAGTTTGACATCAATTTGTTCATGAGATGTTGCATGATGGCCCATAATCATCGTTACTCTCTCTAGATCTCTGTGGGCAACAGTCTGAATTTGAATCTGCAGTTGTGGGAGTTAGGGTCCATCTCAAATGACGCGTAATCGGCATCTTAAGTAGCTGTTCTGTCCAAAAAGTTCTTTAAAGTCTAAAATGTAAAAGGTAATTTAAAATGTAAAAGTCAATTTAAAATTTTAAGATGCAAGATAACGATCTGCTAACATAGATAAACTTTTGGGTTTAAGGCGATTTTGTGTTTCTTTACCAGCTGATTACCATCCCCATCTGCACGGCTGCGGCCCAATTAGCGAAATTCAGCTGCTTCTAATGAGGCCAATTAAACTGCATAAATAGGGCTATTTGTGCAGCCTTTTTCCTTCGGTGTGACGCTGATTCACTTTAGTTTGTGTTTACGGTCTTTTAGAAGCGTGTTTTCAGTCTCTTTTCTAAACTTGCCACTTGAAAGGGGACTTTGCATGTGTTAGCAGAACAAAGCTCTTTTGGTTTTGGCAGCCCAGCTAAAAAAAAACACAGCTGTTCCGTTTCTTTGGCCTGTGCGGCAGAACTCCACCCTAAAGAGGGGCAAAATATCTTCACTGATATTTTGCACTGGAAATGATGGTGCTTTCTTAAGAAACTTCAATATTTAGTGATATGGTGGGCCAAATGGTGATATGCTGGCCCAAATGGTGATATGGTGGGCTAAATTGTGCATGTACTGTAACTCAAACCTCGGGCGTGACAGCTGGAACTATTGTCTACCACGGTGGCCTCATTTCAAGCTGTTTCAGATTTGCAAAGAACCACGTGGCATCTGTGTGTTTCAAAGATGTCAAGACTCTAGCCATGAGGCACAGACTAAGACTAGGAAGCCTATCAAGGAATTCATACTGTATACAAACAAACAGGTTTTCCAACAAACTGTTAGTCACTTGCAAGGCTCAGAAGTTTCATTTGTTTTCCTGATATCTGGAAGTGAAAATTAAACGGGGAAGAGCAAGAAGATCCACAAGTAAAACAGGGCTGATTCACCATCTGGGAACAAATATTCCCCAAGTCTTGTATTACGTTTCACTTCTGGGATCAAACATAATGTGCTTTTGCCATTATCCCCTCTGCTCTTGTCGGCTGTCACATCTTTAAGCTTTTTGTAGCTGATAAGTGACTCAGAAGATGCAATTCTTCTGCTAAATGATTCATATTTCAGATTTTCTTCAGCTTTCAAATCAAATATTTCAGATGCAACCAGTACAGTTCAAGGTCAACGGCGTCAGTCGTCCATTTACAGACATGAATGTCTTAAAAATATTGGATAGCATCGTCTTCACAGGGTATTGCTCCAATAAGAGATCAAAATAAATTTTACCTACTGATTTAATTAGCTATAATGGTCACTATACAAATCGTGTAACAAACAAAACTACATATATGATGTTTTAAAGAAGTTTCAGAGCTTTTAAATCAAAGTGCACCATCTGTGAAGCTAGAAAACAGGAGAATAGAGACGTTTGCTGTACAAAGGATCTGACCCAATTCTGTCCCGAGTTTCTAGTTAGAAGTGTGAAATGAGATCATGTCAAGGAAGGTGGGCGGGGCAGAGTAAGGAAAGGGTAGGGAACAAACGCAGCACCGGACAGGGAAAGGATACGGTATAAACCAGGTCTGCTGCTTGGGGCCTGTCAGGCATACAGGCATTAGGAGACAGAGCAGGTCCCGGTCGGATCCCATGCGGAGCCCCAGACAAGCCAAGCCGCCACCCCACCCCCGGCAAACTTCACTGCCCAATTTTTGGTCGTCCTTACATGTTCCCCGGGGGGGGGGGGCAGTGATGCTTGGCAGGAGGGTTTCAGTAATGGCTTGCTAAGTCAGCGCCCCCTCAGAAGACAGTGCCCTAGGCCAGCTTCACCGCCGGCGCCCCCTGTCTGAGACAAAGTAATCACTCCCTCAGAAGACAGTGACCTAGTCGGCCGCACGTACATTAGGCACAAAAAAAGAACAGGTAATGCAACCATTGTGACATGTAGGAGGCCGTGGGCTCAGTGAGAGGGGGACAGACCTTTATATTAGGTGACAAAGTGCTACTCTGTGATTGCACTGTGGGCAGCAGTCCCTTAATATAATGCCACTGAATAACGATTAAAAATACAGTCTTGCGTTGACTTGTGTTCACATTTGGGACCGGGACCGCCGGTATCAATCAAATCGGGCGTATCTTCGTATTGTGGCTGTCCATCACTCTTACATGACCATATACATACTGTAGACACGGACAGTGTGTCCTTATACGGCCGGCAGAGCTGCCCATTCTCCTGTGCCTGTTACATTAGGCAATAGGCCTAGTGTCAGCCCCCACTGACGTCCTGATCCGTTCACTTTCAGACGTCTCTCCATCAGTGTATATTATTTACTGTGGACCTCGGACTTACTCGTATGCCCCATGGATTCTTATCCACTTCAGAGATCTCCAGGACATTAGAGCCCATTTCCGATACATTTCTGCTTGCCGCTAGCATGTTAACACGGCTAAATGAAGCTCCTGTTTTAACTAGTGGATGTTTTAATGTCTCGGCTAAAATCACACGGATGCATGGTCACCCCGTGTGGCACTTTCACGCCCTTCAGTCTGCTCCTCATTCCTCATAATCCGTCTTGTGTCAATACAGAAAATACAGTTAATGATATCACTGCGTTTTGCTTTTATTACTTTATTTCTATTGCGATTTAAATCTTATTTCATCAAATGTTTTATGTTTTTCTTATGTCAAACATTTTTTACGGACACAATCCAGGAAGCAGTGGGAAAACGATTTCACTCCAAACGCGCGGCTTGTTTGTGCATGTGACAAACGAAACTCGAAACTTGAACTTTGAAGAACTTGCCCGCATAGGGAAGCACAGGGGCTGACCGACTGTCACTACGCTAAAGGCCGGAATGCCCTTTTCTGCTCCAGAGATTCTCCTAATCAATGGACCTCATCGCTATGTGACACAGCTGCCTGTTGCATAACTGGAAACGATAGCGATGGAGAACAAACCCTCCACAGATGCCAGTAAAGGGACTCAGATGAACAGGATAAGGCAGCGAGAGCCAGTCAGGAGATGCTATTCCACGTAATGCGCTTTCTGTTTCCTTTAGATGGTTACCGTGGAGTGCTGCGGAATTCCGGACTGTGTGGCCCAGCCTTAGTGCTCATTTAAGGAAGTATTGTTTTTTGTTTCTGGTTCTCCTGAGAGCTCGAGCCAAGTACCTCCTGTCAGCTGAAAACGTGCGACAAAGCAGAACCAGAGTAGAGCACAACTCACAAAACCACCCGGATGCAACACGGTGGTTTTTGATACGTGCTGAAAATGAATGAACCGGAAAAATGTTCAAGTTGAAATGGAGAATTCAGCCTCTTTCCAGTAATGAATGAGTATATCTTCCCATATCTACTAACCAATGAGTTTCTGATGTGTATCCAGAGTGACTTCGATTGTTCTCTCTCTTATACGGCCCAGGTTACTCACGTTAATTTGGCACAAAACAGATCTTAAGCGGTTTAATAATATTCGTAAATCATTGTTGGCTGCCAGTGACACAGGTGTTAAATATCTCGCTGTATTACGTTATTTATCTGTGAAGATTCGCATAAAGTAAACAATGTATCAGCTTGCAAATAAAATCGCATTCTACAGTAATACTGTAATGTTAAAAATGTGACACTGTTCTTCTGTAATGGAGGATCTCAGCTCTAACTGGGGAGATGCATTTGTCTTGGGATCTCTCCTTTCATCTTACTGTTCAAGAAATCAAAGTACCGGCTAGATGGAGGATTTCTGGGGTATGAATAGCACTGCTCACCCTGATCGTCGTCAGTGCGGAGTAAAAACTGCTCTCCTTAACAGCCCGGTTTCTGAAGAGTATTCTAGTTTGAGTGTAATTTACTACTAAACTATTAGTGGGGTGTTAATTTGCAGAGCTGCTATGTATAAAAGGTTAAATAATTTTCATATTTAGTTTCACATTCTGACTCATTGCATTCTTGTTTAATTCCACTGAGTACATTTTCGGGGCGCGTGTGTGGCTGAGCCAGTCTGAGTCCCTTTGCTCAGCAGGGTAGCTGCATCTGTCGGGGCCCTGCGAAAGGCCCTTAACCACCTGAAAAATGAACCAGGGGCCCCAGATGAACGGCTGGCCTTGTGCTTTCCGCTCACCCCTATAGGCGTGCATGTCTTACAGAGACAAGCAGGATGGAATACGTGAAAACTAACACACTCCAATGTACATGATTTCATACTTGTACAAATTCCAGATGGAGCCGTTGTTTTGTTTCCGGATGTTTCTGTAATCATCTTCATGCTCCTTAGCGCACCGCCATTAATCTTTCACTCCGACCATGAATCGTTTCATGTCGTATATCATTCCAGAAGGTAATGCACCCCGACTGTTTTGAAGCTCTCGTCCCTGAGGTAGCTGAGGGTGCCTCACTTTGAGGTGGTTCCCTTTCAGGTCTGTGAATTGCCTTCAAGGTGAATCAAGCCTCTTTAATAAATCAAATGTAGGCGACATTCTTATCAGCTACTTTGTCAGTTATAGGGCTGAGAAAACATTCATATCTTCACTGTAAATTAATACTTTGCTTTTTTAAAATTGAATTGCCAGAAAACTGTATTTTCGTTCCTATTCTTAGAATGGATAATACCCTATTGTTGCGTTTCCAAAATGTAAATGATTTTCATCTCTGAAATCGAGGGTGAGAGTCTGATGGAATGAGGATCATCCCAAGGCATCACGTTTGAGAAAATCTGAAAAACTCCCTGTAAACTTCAGGGACGGAGGGTAGCTCCTTGAGGTAGGATGCTGTGTCTGTAATCAGAAGGTCACCAGTTTAAATCCCAGTTAGCAGAGTGATTGTCACTGTAAGTCACTTTATATGTGAACTGTAAAAATAATGGGAGCCAGACCATGACTAACGATTAGACATTCCCCGTTTTTGTTTTAAACAAGTGGCTGTCAGCCCATCGGAAGTGCCCCCCCCCCCTCCTCTGGTGGTTGAGCCCTTACGAGACGCTCACTTAGATTCATCGTTTGATTAAAGGTTTTGCTAGAGAACTGGAATACATTCTCCAGAGAGAGTGAATCACGGCTTGCTCAGGATCCGCAGCTGCAGCTGCTCAATGTTTTCCAGAACTTGAGGATGTAATTAAAGTTGCTGAGATGCTACAGTACAAGTAAAACATTTGAAAGATATTGGTACAAGGCAGAACGCTTAAGCATAGTTAAAAAACAAGAACACCACGATGATAAGGGTCTCGTCGCAATGTTGGGACAATGCCTACAGTTTAAATGCATATTTTTCTTCAGGCAACAGAATGTTCCAGAATGTTCCAAATCAATGCAGCATTTTAACAAACAGGTAGACTTTATCTTCATGAGTGGTGGCCCCAAGTCACCGTTAAAGCATTCTAAAAGTTTCAGGCCCCATGAAAGTATAGCGTTTAGGGCCTCCAACTCAGACGGATCCATTTTTTAGGGCCCCTGTCACTCAGGGGACTGCCCCCCCCTCTCGTTGTCAATACCGTCATTTGCTCAAATTCTGTGTAAATTAAGCCTGCTGCTTCCACATGACGACGTACATCACTGAAAACCCGATGGCCCAACTTCAGGAGACCCTGCATGCTTCCAGGAAGAGCATGCAAGGGACTCTGGGAAATAAACGCATATGTGGATGCCATCATTGGGGTTTCCCTGACTTACAAAAACTCTCAGAAACTGATCCATCCGAGCATAGAAGAGCTCCATTGGAAAAAGCTGTATAAGACATGACACTCTTCAAAAATGTCATTATTACAATTTCTATTACTATGTTACTCCAGTTGTCTAGCACTGGGCCATGTATAACAGTAATGCTGGTATGAATTTCTAACATGCACATTTCTGTAACACATGGCATCTCTATGCTTCATCAGCCATCTGGTTTTGTACTGTTTTGTATTCTTTAAAACTCCGTATTTTTGCGGGCTGTCTTTGGATATTGGTAACCTAGTGAGGCTGAATGATGAAGCATTCCAATGATCCTGCAGCAAAAGGCTGGATTAATAATCACCACCATCATCATCATCATCATCACCACCACCATCATCATCCCTTCCAGGGTGTTCCCCTGCTCTGGGCCCCATGCTGCCTGATCTACAACCCCCCCCCCCCCACACACACACACACACACACACCTCCATGACCCGCTGGAGGATGACTGGAATAACAATAGCATGACAATGAATGATGATCGTCATCGTCATACAGTCATGGTTATGTTATTTCTGCACTGGAGATGGACGCCATCTCTTTACCTGTTGTAGAGGAGGATGTCTGGCACCCAGACCTGACTGGACGGGAATCGTAGGTTTTTCACCCCCGGGTACAGCTCAGGGTTCCAGCTCAGGTAGACGTCAGTCCAGTGCTGAGGACAACACAGAGTGTGAACACCCACTGCTTTGGTCCATTGACAGCTGCCTCTCTAAATGAGTTTGGGATATGTAATTACAAGGGACATTGGTCTATCCAGTTTAAAGACACCGATTTTATATTCCTATCCATCAAAAAGGAGCAGATTTAAGCCTTTTGCCTTTCATTTGGTCTGCATAATTAATTGTCATTCAGTTGTATTTAGTATCAAAATACTTTTAATCTATACTTGCTTCCTTCAATGGATTTTTCATGATTATGAATCTAAATATGTTAATCCCCTTGAATAACAAAGGTAATGTTTGGCTGCGTCGTTCAAATTTGTTTGTGTTTGAGCTCTGTCATGCCTTTCTGTAGTGAGAGATTATTTATTATTCAGTATCACGCTGCGACTGAAATGAAAACAGTCTCCAAGGAACACCTTTGTAATTTTAATATTCTGGGCAAATTCTCGGGCACCGTGTGGAGCACATTCCTTGCCAAGATTACGCGGTAATGGTAGCTTGGGGGTCAGCCGGATTTGTCCATTACTGAGGAAATTAATATATTTTTTTTAAAAAGAGTCAATGAAAAATGAAATAGTGGTGGTATTTAACAAAAATCAACATTCTCGGTCCCCAGACACGTAGAACAGCACTTGATAATCGTCAGACGGAAAGGAACTCGATATCGAAGTCCATTTTTCTTTGTGTGTGACGGACTTTGCGATGCTGATTTCTCAGCTGATCGTAGCAGGGCAGGAGATAATGGAGACTCTAAGCCGTGAAATTGTCCTGAAATGATCTGGTTTCTGGGACCAAGCGTTACAGCTTTCTAAACTTGCAAATTATCCTCACGCAAATGTGTCTGACTTACCAGCTGCAGCCAAGCATTTGTAATCAGGACCTGATTCTTTTCATCCTAGAGGAAAGATAGAAAAAAGGAGTGAAATCAGTCCCAAAAAAATACTGTGACCACTCAGACGATACATTTAAAGGACCCGCAATTACATTTGGAGGGTCTGTAAGCTGATTCTGAAAATGCTCTCCTCTGCTAGTAATGACTGATGAATGACAGCAGATTGAGAGACTGAGATGAATTAAAAATAACACAGAAGCTGTCAGCTTGTCCATCCTGGTTTGACAGTCGCCATGGCTCCCAGCGGCCATTGAAAATCAAAAGCTGCAGCAGACTCCGGAATTTTCATTTTTGGGGCGTCAAGGCAACAGCACATTATTACAATGCTTCTGATTTTTCCTTTATGCTTCGAGGATACTGACACTCTAGCAGTGTCGCGAAACACAGATGAGTCTCGTCTCATTGTTTCTGCTGAACACGCGGCGTGATTGAGACAAGCCGCACGCCACAGTTAGTGTTCCGAAGTGAGAGAACGTGACCTAAAAAGTGTCCGTCGCTTTTGCTTACCAAAACCATGAGTTAAATAAATAAGTAGAGCTGAAAGTGTCTCTGCACGACAGACACACACCACCTTCACTGTCTTCCCCTGCTGCTACAAGACTGCACATTATTAACAGCTAGACTGGCACAATCAAAGTGTCGTCAGACTGCGGAGACCGGACCTGCCAGATTGTAGGTTGGCTCTTATTTCAGGCCCCCGCAGACTCGGGTCAGGCAGCGTCGGAGCGCCGGTCAGAAAATCCCAGCATGTGATATCTAGAGGTTAACACCGGGTGCTTCAGGAGAAGCTCTTAAACTAATCCACCCGGTCTCCCGTGCCCCCCCATCCTCCACTGAAGGAAAGAGAATCCTCCCTGATGTGTCAACTGCCTTGTTTCATAACAATCCACAGCTCTGCTCGGAGAAGCGGAGAAGCGTTGCTGTGTCACGCCAGGGAAGGTACTCGTCACGCTTAAGCATTCAGGTGACAACGCTAGCTGCAAGCAAGTGTTTACATTAATCTTCATTTAATGTTATTTGAACATGTTTTTATTGATTTAGACATTATTCGGCGTGTGGTAATAGATTGTCCGTAATATATAAAATACTGGTGGCTGCGTCTGTCCCTTGGGGTGACGAATTCCACAATGACAGTTACATTTGCACGCTGAGCAGACGCCTTTGTCCAAAGCGACATACAATTACCTGCTGTGGCTCCGAAAATATTGTAAGAATGATGCTGCAAGACATTTATTTTATTTTGCAGACGCCTTTGATGTACGAGTTAGGCAGACGGCTCATTACAAACATACGGCTCTTGAGGAGTCGGCCAGGCGTAAGTGCAGCTAGGCTGAGCCTCCAGGGAATGCCCAAGTGTCAGCAGTATTGGAGCAAGAACTACGGAACATCTTCCAAACAAAGCAAGAACCTGGTAAGTCAATAGGTGCTTTCATCCTGAAGTAGCAGAACCGAGACCTGGTCTGGAACCTTAATTTCCAAGTTAGCGCCGGTGCTTGTGAACCAGTCAGCAAGTTATTGCTGTAAGTCCCTCCCCAGTACCTCATGTTTGAATGAAAAGTACCTAGGCTGGAGTAGGAACTAAAAAAGGGTTCCAGAACTGCCTTCGAGGAGCTACAATCGGGCCGAGTTCCGGCAGCGTGACAAAAGATCCTAGTTTCTTAAAGATTCTTGTTCTTGAAAAACGTTCTTGCGGTGTGAAAGCATCGAGTGACAAATTCAACATAAGGTCATTCGGGGGACATCAGGCTAACAGAGGAATTCCCAAAACAGGTGGGTCACGTGACCTGACATGATCAGAACCATCTGGACCATGTGATGTGGGAAGAGGAGGGTGGAAGAGAGCTGAGGTTAGAGATGGACTTAACAGAAATAGTGTGTGTGTGGGGGGAGGAGGGGGGACACGGGGGTGTGGTAAACACTAAAACACTGTTGGTTCATACCTCAGCGCCTAGGAATGTTTTTTTTCTCCCGGGAGAGACCGATGAATTTTATCTTATAGGATGTAATAAAGGATGATGAATGTGCCTGTTGACTGAGATCGCCCCCCCCCCCCCCTCCCCAAGCTTTACACATGCCATGAGTGTTTAGAGTATTTGACACATACAACAGTGACCATCTTTAGTTTATCCTCCACTCCTCTGTAATGGACTCCTGAACCATAACTCCTGGATATGTTTTGGTGCCTTAATAGCTGATGATGAATTGTGGTAACAAAACAAGACCCCAGCCCCACATGAGACGAGTGGAGGTCTGGTCATTGTCGGAGTGATTCTGAAAGGCAGAAGATAAGGCTAGCAAAGTAACCCCCTCCCCCCCCCCCCCCCAAAAAAAAAAAAAAAAAAAAAAAAAAACGGGAGCTTTCAAGACACCAGTCTGGCACCCTTTACCATTTCCACTACCATTACCATTACCATTTCCATTACCATTACTAGAGGCCAGTCAGATAACTTGGGTTGTCCTGGTTACAGTTTCATCAACAAGTCAACTGGATTTATGGTAAGTTTTTTTTTTTGATGTCAGTGTCAATTTGCAGTTTTAACACTGGTTTCTATCAATTACATGATTCTGGGCTACTGGTCTCTCACCAATGAGGCAGATAATAAATCAAATTGTCAGTAAAGCACCCGACTGCAATGTCGTTTCTTTTCTGGGGTTTGAACTACAGTTTGTCATGATGTATAATAAAATCAACAAATAAACTTAGTTTGTTTTAAGTCTGGGAACTGGGACCAGGGTTCGAGTCTCCACCATGGCTCCATGTGTGTGGAGTTTGCACGTTCTCCCCGTGTCATTGCGGGGTTTCCTCCGGTCTCCCCCCACAGCCCAACAACACGCTGAGGATAACAGGAGTTATCAAATTGCTTGTTGTTGTCCATGTGTGAGTGACTGGTGTGTGAGTGACTGGTGTGTGAGTGACTGGTGTGTGAGTGACTGGTGTGTGAGTGACTGGTGTGTGAGTGACGTGTGTGTGAGTGACGTGTGTGAGTGTGCCCTGCAACGGGATGGTGCCCCATCCTGGGTTGTTCCCTGCCATGTGCCCATACCCTCTGGGATAGGGTCCAGACCCCCTGAGACCCTGAATAGGGTAAGCGGGTATGGATGGATGGATGGATGGATGGATGGATGGATGGGAATGACATAGACATGCATAATGTCTTGACTGTGTTTTCTTGTTTTTAGACACAACTGATTGTAAGCAGGATTCTCCAGGCGTGTCCTTATTGGCTTGTTATTGAGTTTTATGGTTGACTTGTAACAAGTCTCTCATTAGCACTCGGTTGAAGAGGCCTGTAGGAACTAATGAGGGGGGAAATGAGGGCTGAATTATCGTGGGTCGCTTTCTATTGCCTGGATTTAACGAATCGGCGAAGTAGCCCAATGGAAAGACAGCAGGCTGAATGATTGGCCAATGCCCCCTATACTGAGGAATTATTTGATATCATTTGGCCAATGAGACATGATTGATAGTGCATTGATTATAAAGCAGTTTTACTGATCTGGGAGACAAGAGAGAGAGCTCTGTTTCATGTGGAGACGTGACAATCTGCTCTGCGGTTGGAGTATGTAGAGTCCTACGGGGAGAGAAGTTCTGTAAGCTGATTTATAACCGTGCAAAGAACAGGCAGCAATCCCCAGCTGCACAGCCATGATCCAATATCCCCCCGGATCTGAAATACTCACACAAAGAAATGAAAGCCTGTCACTGATTGGGGGCCCAGATGTGGCTCAGAACTACGGTGGCTTCCAAAAAGCTGATTTATTCATTTTATGTGAAAACACCGCAAACATGATGGGTCCTTAAATGGGAGAGGGTACACCAACAAAAAATAAAACGCAATATGTTGGTTGCCATGTGCACATCAAATTAGACTCTACTAAAGTCATCCCAAAATCAACCCTATAGTGGATGAGCATTTATGTGAAATTAAATGAATTAATAGAAAAGGTATTTCAATTTGTCAAATGACAGGACATCTTGTGGGTGGGAATAGAGCAGATTATTATGCAATGTCAGTCACTGACCATCACAGCCCACATACTATTGGACACATTATTGGCTTCCACTGGGTTATACCAAGTATTATTTTAACAAGGGGGTGGTAATCCCAGCAACCACAGCATCCAAGGCCTGGTGTCTAGCAGCACTAGCTGAAGCTGCAGCTTTGAAGCGAAGCACGCTATTCTCTATCTTTAAAACTGCAAACCCTCCTTCATTTTTCCACCATTCTACTGATGTTCAAGATAGCTAACAGCCACCCCCCCCCCCCCCCACAAGGCGAATGGAGACAACCGGTAATATGTTGTTTCTACTACTTCCTGCGTCTGCTCCTCATGATTACCATGATAAGTGATTGTGAAATGCCCACGAAGGGTCCCATCAAATGTGAAATTTCCTGAAATAAACTCGGCTGCACTTCACTACCAGAAAACAAACCTGATTATCTCACTAGAAGTGCCCATTTTTTGCTTTCACGTTTATTTCTTTATCAGTCTCGCGTCTCTATCAGATCTGAAACCCTTTATCTAGAATTCCATTTTGAAATTGTCTAAATGGTATAAGATTACTTTATGGCTTTCAGTTGATTTTCTGCTCTTTAATTCCCAAAGAACTTCTACCCTTTACTGTCCATAAAGATTATATTTTATCCCAAAGGCTGCTTTCAACAGACTATTGGATCATTAGATATCATACCTGCGTTTTTTTTTCCACATTATGATTTTTTTCCCACTACCTGGTATATCTGCTTTGAAAAAGGAGTTACTGAAAGAGGTCTGACCCCAGGGATGTGTTAAATGACCCAAATGCAAAGTCTTTCATCCTGGGTTTTGCTGCACATTTACCCTTTACTGTTACACGACCATGTCAGTTGATATCAGATGCCCACTGGAAGCTGATGCTTCTATTATGGAATTGAATTCCAAAGTGCCTTTTTCATCTATTCCTGGATGTTTTCATCACTGTAAATGCTAGGGCTAAAGTCCTGGGCGGATTAATGTGTTGGGCTATCCTGGGCTATAGCCTGTGTTTCACAGCCTAGTCTTCTGGAACCCCCAGGCAGGTTTTTGCTCCCTCCCAGCTCCCAGGCCCTCAGGGCCCCCAGGCAGGTTTTTGCTCCCTCCCAGCTCCCAGGCCCTCAGGGCCCCCAGGCAGGTTTTTGCTCCCTCCCAGCTCCCAGGCCCTCAGGGCCCCCAGACAGGTTTTTGCTCCCTCCCAGTGAGGGTGTCACTTTGGACCAGTTTTTAAGCCATTAAACGACTAAGCAACAGCCATTCTTTCAGTCATTCATCCATTTCTATGTTCTGTATTTAGGGCTTCACCCCTAGATAAAGTATTATTGAAGGCCCCATGCCATTTAAGAGGTGATGACCTTCCCTTATCAAGCACGAAACACTGAGTGGACATAGATAAGTCGCCAAGCTCCGTATAACTGTCACACGGCCTTGTGAGGTTCCACCGAGGAGGTGACATTAAATGATGGAGTAGAATCTTCACCGGAATCCTCAGTAGCTCTGAACCCAAAGCAGAAGGAAGTTCCTTGCTCCCAAAACCTTGGTGCCGTCTGACACTTATTTTTCAGAGAACAGACGGACTGAAAATCAACGCGGCATATTACAGGCATCTGTTACGCCACCAAGAGAGTTCCGGAATTAGACAGAGTGCTGCCGGGCTCTTTACAGAAACAGTCGCCTTTCTGAATGGATACAAAATTTTGCTGCTGTTTATTATGCCTACGGTATAATTGCAAAACAAACAACAACAAAAGCAACACATTTCCCAAAGATCTCATGCTCCCTGCATCTTTACAAAGGCAAAACGCATCGGCGTCTAATAAAGAGCTGCAAATGCTGACTTTATTTCTAGTGCAATATTGGGATTATTGGCTTAAAAAGCTTCAAAAAAATCTAAACTGTATGACGTATATACAATTATCTGGAAAATAATAGTGCTTCTCATTCACAGATATTTGAGTCAATCTGACACACTCTTCTCAATGGCTTTGTCTCTGGGACTTGAACAGATGCTCTCCCATCACTCCTCTGACTCACCACGTCGATTATCTGCAGGAGCGTCATGCCCAGCTCCACCAGGATGGCCGAAGAGTCGTTCAAGACCGGCCTCTCCAAGCGGTTGTAGTTGTCCATCAGCTCCTTGTAGAGTTTCCGCTGGTGTTCCCCCTGCAGTGACCCTAACGTGACATTGAGAGGGAACACAAGTTGCAGAAACTCTGCGACATGATAGCTTGATACATCGCTAACCGTACACTGGTGGTGCGCGAATGATGTGAAACACATAATCTGATACACAAACACTTACGCAAGTCAAATTTTTAAACTGGATTTACCGTACTCATCCATACAATCCAAGGCACCTTTTAACAAACACTTAAGCCAAAAATATACTCGTAATATGTGTTGCTATTGTCGCTGCTACATAAAAATTTAACATTTCTTCATGGTGAAAGCTAGACAGGCCAGGAGCCGTAAGAAGTCATTTTTTAACAATCACATATTAATTAGTCTTAATATGTTATCTAAAATTGCATGGTTTGGTAATATTACTATGCAAATGTACAGATTTATATTGGCAACTTAATTATTTAAAAGAAGATTCTTATACTTTGGTCATTGTACTAATTAAAATGAACACGTGTTTCCTACGCTTCCTTCCCATATTCTATTCCACACATAATGCTCAGCTTCCTGAAGTTGTCACGAGAAAACATGAGGAAGCGTCGTCTTTCCTCAAGGCACCAGCAATATAATGAAAAAACAGATTCCTACTAACTCTCCTGAAAGTAAATTGTCACAAACGCTTTAATCACAAAATCAAAAGAGTTTCAAACCTCTTCTGGCAAAAATTCAAAACATGATGTTTCCTCTGTCACAAACAAGAAATTGGGTTCTTGTTATCTTTGTTCGAAAAGTAAATTAAAAATACCAAAAATAGCTAGCAAACTAAATTCTCTTGGTGCCGGCTACATTAATCTTCTTTCTTCACATTCCACTATTTACACTGCTTGATTAATTCGACCTTGTGTTTTATCCTGCTCCCTGTGGTGGGCCAACAGTGAAGATTGGTATTTAGTGAGGTAATAACGGTCTTCAATATTAGCATTATTCATTTGTTTTTTTTTTTTTGTACATCTGGGATGTGAAAAGGTTCCATACTTGTCCCAAGGATATGAGAGCTATATACCTTTTTCAAACACAAACATAAAGCCTGTTCTTCTGTAACCACTATATCACCCCTAGGTAACCCACAGAAACCCACAGCAGAGTTTGGTTGGCCATTCTGACTATGAACAGGTTAAAAATACTTCACTATGATCCATAAAACTCGGTATTCCTGATTCACCACCACTGCCAGTTTCCCATCATGAAAACAGGGGTGATGTGCAACTCAGGCAGTTAGGATTCTGTGGCTATGAGGGGGGATGGGGGAGGGGGGAGGTTGGGGCAGCAGAGTGATTTTCCTGTTGGGCCCCTGAGCAAGGTCCCTAATAAGGCTCCACGCACTGCATGACCCTTTTGCAAAAAAAAAAAACATAAAAAATAAAATGTATGTCGCTTTGGATTAAAGCATCTGCAAAAGAGATTAAATGTAGGGCGAAAAAAATACTGTAATGGAAAGCAGAGAAGGACACTGAGGGTAAACACTGAGGGTAAACCTTATAAAACACAAACACAGAAATACAACCTTCACATATGCTGGTTTTATATATACGTGCCCAAGCCGTCAGGACATCTCTCCAAATGTCCCTCACACTTCCCCCCAAGTCTCCATAAAGCCAGCAAATCACTGCAATCATCACCATGCAAATTCAACATTAAACGGACCATTCAAACAGTCCTGCTGCTCAGGCACCGAAATAAACCATTTTAAGTTTAGAAATCAGTCACAATCTTCTGCAAAGGCATCTGAACTATATAATGGTTCCATAGCAAATGCTGCACATGTAGGACGTCTTGAATTGGTCATTAATTTTTCAATATTTTTATGAATACTGTAAATACAATATTCTAGTGGGAAATACTGGTACTTAACTGTAACTCAGCAATAAATATTTTGTCAACCATAAAAGTGAGGATAGTCTTAATTTAGAAATAGCAGATCTTAAGTGTATAATATTGCTCTTTATTAAAAAAGCATTAAAAACAACTTTTCTGTTATGAAAGTGTATTTTCATGCAGTTTATTTTCTGATAATAAATGCACCAGCCGCGTTTATATTTCCGTCACTGTTGTGTAAATGTTAATGACGAGCCCAAAATAAGTATGCAATGATACTTGTTTCTGTTTTGAAATTTGAAGTAAATTAAACGTATCCTTGCTCACATAAACATGATGTAAATACCAAAAATTGCAGACGGAACCCCAGTTTCCCACGAGACGGTTTCCATGGTGACCCATATGCAATGCACAGTAGCCCTACACTTCAAAATTTCTTTTTTATCTCTCTTGAAAAGCATATTATTTTTCATAGCCTGTGCCCGATGCAGCAATAACATGTGCATCGTCAAGGTGAGTACGTCTGTTCCTTGACCGGGACCAGTGCTGAAAGTACGCCGGCTTTGCTGTTCTCGTTATTACTATGCGAAAGCTGGGAGTTTGAGCTGACAGCTCTTTCACATTATTAAATTCCAGCCAGAACGTGAACGGGGCCTTCCGGGATCCAGACTTCAGTTAAGTTGTAGAGCCGCACGTAGTCTTACTGTATCAAAGGTGTTCTAACTAACGATGTCATCTTTAACGAATGCAGATCTATGCGTGATTGGACCATGTGTCCTTTGCCATAACTACAGAGGGATGGTGATGCAAAGCGGCGACTGAATCTTGTAATTCGGTCACTGTAATGTCCTCTACAGATACAAGAGGCTGATATGTTAATAAAAAGCCTATTTCCCTTGGATAAACTTTGATCTAGACACTGAAGATAACGTCACATGATCAGTCTTACTGATCAGTCCTCTGCTATATAATCAAGTCCGATTTATATTCATCTTCAGCTGGTTAAAATCACAACGATTCAACACCCCAAAGTGTAAACTCGGCAAAATTAATAACTATTTCTCCTGGGGCTTTATTACGTCACATACTTGCCCGCAAGACTCGTTCCAGTGCTTAGGAGAGCCAAAATAAATCTTGCTGGTGTTTGTGGTTCAGAAATAACAGCTCAAGACTTCACCTGTATTATGGGATCAGCATGGAGCCTCATAGAATAAACAGCCGGTAACCAGTGATGACCCATTTCTGCAAACTGCTCCAGTGCATTTTCTGTTCCCCTTGTGTTTTGTTGTTAACTAATAATGTCCCAGGAATTACTGCGGTCAGACACATCCGGTCCTGCTGTAAATGTTACTGTGACAGACAAAGAGTTACAGATGATGAAGATTCATGCCTGCGGTCCCACCCAGAAAGGCACCACGGGGTCCCCCCCGCATGGAAATGAAAACATGTGTTCTTTAATTCTGTAAAAATGCTGCAAATTTATTGGCTTCATACCAAAAGGCCATAAACAAGCAAAGTCTGCATATCTGCAAATATCATCCATGCAGACATTTTCTCTTCCTTAGAATTTTTTTTGACTGACTTATTCAGTTCTGTTTTTGCCATTTTGCTATTAATTGCAATTGCAGTCACTGACTCCCATAGGGATACTAAACACCAATGTTTGGTGTTTTATGTCATTGTAAAGATGTTGCTAATTAAAAAGCACCAAGTGAGACTGTTTGTCAATGAACTTCTTAACTCAGAACAGCTTTTAGAACTATAATTTGGGTTTCAATTTATTACTACTTGAAATAAATGTTTTACTTATAACTTATAACTGGTTGTTTCGAATATATGTTTTTTTGTAAACAAAGGAATAAAGTAATGATTTTTAATACCAATAAATTTGAAATATTCTACTGAATTATAGTAGGCTGTCATCACTGGTTTGCATGATTATAATAACCATTTAATGTAAGGTAACTCATACATGTGTAAATGTTACGAAACTCATAATGTTAAAATACATGTTTTTATTTCAAGGATTTAGTAAAATATTGTATGATCAATTATGCAAATTAAAACCATAAAGTCCTCAAAAGTGTTTGACATGATTCAAATGAAGGAGATCGCTTAGTTAAACCTTGAGTTTGTGACCCACTGAGTGAATCACAGTTGTAATTAGTGTTCAGATTGACTGGAAATATTATCTCCGTGAGAAACAGATAGTGTTTTAAACAAATTAGCAATAAATGGTAAACCTGTTATCTCGCAATGAAATATAACTTGGTTTATAATTAAGAAAATGTTACAGTCCATCAAAATACGACAAAATGGGGGGAGATGTAAAGCAGGGGGGTTTTAGAAGCATGTTATTGATGCTAAAACAGACAGATTAGGATTAGGGCTGGGGAGGGGACACAGAATACTGGTGCATTTACACAGACGAAATAGAACAGAAGAGTGTCAGGGATCAGTGACCCCAGCAAGTGAGGTCTGAACCCAAAATAGTCATAATTCTAAACATTACTTATTATTCACAATGATGAATAATCACTGTTTCTGCTCTGTGTGCGTGTGTGGGGATTCTGTTTATATTACATTGTGGGGACCAAATGGGGGGGGGGAGGAAGGGAGGGAAGGAGGAAGGAAGGGAAGGAGGGGAGGAAGGGAGGAAGGGAGGAAGGAAGGAAGGGAGGGAGGAAAAATGACTAATTACACAAGTTAATGATCCCTACGTTCCAGAAACGCAAACATGTCAAGTTTTGTTATTTGGGCAGAATGAGGAACAGATGGAGGAATATTAACTATAGAATACAATGAGGAGACATACACAGAATTCAGGATAGAATGAATACATTCTGCAGTCATCATTCACAGATGTGCAGTAAACAAACCATTATGCAAAGAAAAGCAATCTTTCAAAAGGAATTATATTTGCCTTTAGGAGGGATACATATCTCTAGGGGCTGTGATTAACTCCTCTCACAGCCGAAATGTCAGCGCTGCACCTCCTCGACTTGTCAGCGCCTGGAGCCCCTATCGCCACAGGCAGCAGACGCCTCCAGACATAGCGAGACGGTGTCACAGCACCAGAAATGACCTTCCAAGATTCTGCTCATCGTTACCTTATTTATACAGGAGTCCCGCACCACATTAGGCAAAAATCCCCGTGTCTGTGGCTATCTCTGTGTCCGACGACCCAAATCAACTTAAATGGGTAAAACAGGGAGTCGGATTCCATTTCACCTGGCAAACGCGGCCAGATTATCCAAGCTAGATACAATCTGTGAGTTTTGGAAACATTCCTGTGATATTTCAGCCTAATCCAAAGCATGTGGAAGTCGCTTATCTCTGCAAGCATTAAAATCACCAGTGCCGCTGGATGTAGCGCAGTAGGGTTAGGGATCCGTGCCAGCGTACAGAAGGTCATGTGTTTGAATCCCCTGGCTGGCAGACTGATGGCATGACAGCTGAGCCCTTGAGGGAAAACAACATTAACCCTAATTTAACATCTTGTACATCACTTTGGGCGAAAATGTTTAATAAATTAATGTAATAGTGTAGTGATTGAGCACAGAAGTATCTGGAAGGTGGGACCCCGTCACTGCAGCACGGAACTCACTGCGACACGTGACGGGGTCGTGTTCCAGAACAAACAGCCATGCCGTGTTAACATCACAGACCTGTTACACTGACGGCAACGAAGGGAAAACAAAACGAAGCTTCATTAGAACATGAGAAGTTATTTTGAAATCCTTTTGTTTTCACATATCTCGTCGTCCTGTCCTTTGAGACACTAACATAGAGGTGAGAGTGAAACGTGGAGCCTGAGCGCAGCGTCAGCCGTTGTTAAGAACCAAAGCAGCCGTGGCTGCTCCGCCGCGCACAGGATTTGCACCGACACCCTTCCGATCACAGCGCACAGGATTTGCACCGACACCCTTCCGATCACAGCCGCAGAACCCTAACCCACTGAGCCACATGCTGCCCGCAGTCCAGAACAGACAGAAACCAGCTGTGCTAAATAACCAAATGGTAAAATAAAGAGGAACGCTCTCCTAGGCGTGTAGGTACACGTAGATGGCGCCCCACACATTAATTACAATTAATATGGGCTTTAAATCTGCCTCTGGTTATGTACATGTGGAGTTTGCATATTCTCTCTGCATAATCCTCCAGTAAAAACATTCCTCAGGTAGTTGAATCGGTGCCGCCGAGTGTCTGACTGGATATCTGTCAATGACCAGTGCATTCTGGGATAGGCTCCACGGCTCATTGCTGTTAAGGAAGACAGACAGGTAAAATACAGCCATCTGACCCATAAAGACAAGCCGAAACTCCGGTGATGAGCAGCAGAATAAAGAAGCCGTCTCCCATTCAACACCCTCCCGTGCATCACCGTTAATTACAGCGAGCATCCCGCGGTTTTGACAGCTCCGCGATAAACGCCTAATCTCACCAACGACGGGGCCCGTTCCGCCCGCCACCCGCCTTCCACCAGTAGTGTCGTCTCCTGCCTCTCTCCGCCCCCCCGCCCCCCGAAGCTAAGCTGCAAACCCTCTGAAGGAGCGTAAATATCTGTTCCCCACAAACCAAACAAACGCACGACTTTCCTGGGGTAGTCCAGGTGGGACTGCCCCCCCCCATCCAGAAGTAATCCATCAATAAAAACAGGCATGAAGGGAACGGGGGTCTCGTCAACAGCAGGGAGCCCAAAGAGACCCTCCTCTCCAGCTCCGTGATGAAGCCCACGGTTACGCTGATCCATAAGTCTGAGCTATACTGCTGCAGGGTTGAGTGTCCCGAAGCCGCCTTACAGCTACGTCATTCTAAGCTCTGTGTTACAAGTTAGAACTTACGAATGAACTAGTTGAGAAAATATCGTTCACTGTCATATTAGGATTAGTATTCAAATGGAAAAGGGCTACAGTGTGATTTAAGACCAATGACATTGAGTAGACTGGATGGATGGATGGATGGATGGATGGATGGGTAAAGGTGGCCTGAATCTATCTTTCTCCACCAGATAATTTGTTAGCAGTTGTGAGGAGGCTGTGTCGCATTAAACACAAGACCTGTCCACAAACTTTACAAAAATCCAGAGGCCGACACCAGAGCACATCGGTAATACGTTGCGTAATCCGTCCTCATATGAACAGCCAGCACTCTAGCCGGTGACCTGGGGACTGTTCCTACAGACTTAATTACAGGGAGAAACCGTACCTATGAAAGAGAATCTATGAAAAGTATATATTAATATTTTAAACATTTCAGCACCTCTTTATGGAGCTTTTTATGTTACTTATCCATTGCTCAATCCATCCATTTTCCAAAACCACTTTAAAACACCCTAAAAAGGTGCATTATCTTTATAACGTAATTTAGAATATAATTGTTTGGGCAGTGGTGGCTTAATGGTTAGGGAAGCACACTTGTGATTGAAAGATTGCAGGTTCGAATCCCCGACCAGCAAGGCACCACTGAGATACCCTGAGCAAGGTACTGCCCCCAAGCACTGCTCCCCGGGCGCTGAGTTAGCTGCCCCCTGCTATGTCACATATGGGTTAAATGCAGAGGACACATTTTATTGTGGTGTGTCAACAATGACCACTGATCTTCTAAATAAAAATTTGACTGACAAAATCCAATGTAGTGATACAAATGATGACCATACTGATAAAAGCCCCTTTTCAGTTTTATTTCAGTACGCTCCCAACAGTACCATGGCTGAGTATTCTCTTACCAGAGTATTAATTTAGCATTCTATAGATTCAATCCTGCTCTTCCATTTTTCTGGTTCTCATTCTTTTGCTCTCTATTTATCTGCATCATTAAATTATCTCCCCATCTTAACAAATAAACAAACAAATAACACAATCCCCCCGATGCAGACTAAACACAAACAGCTCAAAACAAAGTCATGACCATAATACTAATCTCCCGTCTGTCTTTTTTTTTTTTTTTTTTACAGCATCATGTAATAATACTTCCTAAACAAAGGGGGCAGCACTAATCATGTAAACACAGCCTAACGCTCCCGTGTGTGGCCTTGACATTTCCATGCTGTGGTTTATGATCGTTTTCTAACCAATAATCAGTCAGGCCAACTCTCCTGTTCACATATTTTATGCAGAGAGGAATGGTAGGCTGTGGGTACTGCTGTTGCCTTAGGGTTTGGGATTCGAGTCCCACCTGTTTGTGGAGTTTCCTCCAGGTACGCCAGCTTACTGCTGCAGTCCGAAGTAATGCAGAAAGGCTGATTAAACTGTCTGCTGTTCGTGACCTGTGATGGACCTGCCTTAAGGGCTATGCTGCCTAAAATATGCTCCAGTCCAACCACAATGATAAGAAGCTAGGATGGCAAATATGGAATCCAAAATGGTTTAATGACGCATACTTTTGTATAAGGCGCTGATTGTCACGAACACACAACAAGACGCAAGTCATTTTGCTATGTATTTTGTAGGAATTTGTACATACTGTACAGTAGTTTGTACATTCACCTGTAGAGAACAGGAAGCCAAATAAAACCCAACGCTGAAGGAAATCGGTTACAGCATAGTGATCTGTCTCCCGGTGGTGCTGGATGAATAACAATATCGCAGCTCATGAGCACGAGGATGCGTGACACTCAGTCACAGGAAGCGCACCGCTGGAATGACGCTCCATCACGTCCGATACTCCCGGGATTAGATTCTTGCATGGTTTCCCTGTATTTCTAAAATACATCTCAAATTAACCTCACACCTGGAGGATCCCCCCCCCCGCACCACCACCAATAAAAATAAAACATTAAATTAAACCAGTGCTCGGTGCTTCTTTCATGCCGTACGGCATACAGGAATGAGCGCCGTCACGTCCGTCTCCTATAATGCGGTAATAAGGGGAAACATTTATACGTGTGGAAATTTATAAGTTGGCACAGGAACAGTCGTAAAAAAATAAGTTTTCTCTTCCACCCACCGCCAGCTGTCGGGAAAACGATATATTTACGTCCTTAAACTACTGATGGACGAGTTCAAACAAGTGCAATAAAATGAAGAAAATAGTGTCCTTTATATATAGTTTACAGTTATCGATTTTATGTGAAGAACTGTACCCATAATACGTTAAAGGAATGTTGCAAAAAATGCGAAAATATACATATAGGTCATAAACGTACAGCTTTGCTCATATACATCACATATTCACACAGGCGTTTAAAAAAATAATCTCAGAGAACCCGTTTGCTGTTAATGCAGTGAATCAATGATGATAATACCGGTAAAATTAACTGCAGGTACTGCATCTCAACTGTAACTACAATAGACCGAAAGCATGCGAAGACAAAACAACTTTATGTATTATTATTATTATTATTATTATTATTATTATTATTATTATTATTATTCAGTGTCTCACCTCTAAAAAGAAAAGCGGAGCAGAGAAACATCCCAAGACAAACAAATTCCAGAAACTTGCGAGCCGGCATTCTGGGAGATTGTTGCGCCCCTGTGTCTATCCGGAGTCTGAGAAAGGACGCGATTATCCGGAGTCTGAGAAAGGATGCGATTAACTGAGGGAGAGAAAGGGAGAGAGAGAGGTGGGGGGAGCGCGCGCAGCCAAAGTCACAGGGTCACATCTTGGGTTTCACATCGGAAAACTATGCATCACTGCAAAGAACTGAACAGGTAAAGTCCAGACTATCTAAACATTAAAAATGCATAATTGCATGTCAAATCAATTACGTGCTGTGTATTTGATTGCCTTACCTGTCCTCCACACTCTGCGCTCCGCGTACCTTGCTTCGCAACGCGGCTGACATTACATACGAGCCCCCAAAACGATGACACCTTCACTGTGCATTCCTAAAGCGGTTTCAGATTCAATGTACTTTGGAGAGTCAGTCATTATTTAAATGCTTTAAACGTGGCGGATCATGTCGTGTATTTTATGGGAATTGCGCCGTACTCATGGTTCGAATTACTGGGGCCCTCGGCTTCCCCCGTAACGCACGTGAATCCCTCTGAAAGAATCCCCCAAGACCTATAGGGGAGCTCTAAGAATGTCCACTTTTGTGTTATGCGTAACAAGGCTGTGCCAGGGAGTCAAAACTGCGGGGACCAAGACGTAATTATAACATATATGGGGTGGGGGACATTTTGAGCACATCTGCCAGTTCTGGCTGCGTGTTCTGCCGCGCACGCATATGTATGCGCATCCACGTGACTTGTGAGGTCGTGGTGCACATCGGAAAATAGGGCTCTCCCGAAATTCACTCCGTAATTCGAACCCTGGCTGTACATAAACCCACCAGAACAAACTAGATGAAGCAAGACATCACGTCAGCGCAACCATCAGTGACACTTTCAGCAGAGCTATAACAGATACAAGAATCCACTATACCCTTGTTTTCAAATATTGCTATAAATAGAGATTAAATGTTTAATGAACTCTGTAACAGCCTCCAGCCCAGTTCAGGTAATGTTATACATTTAAAATGATTCCTTAATCTTCAATGTCGATTGTATGGTACATATATGATTAGAGGGCAAAGAGAAAAGCAGCCTAATAACCATCATCCACTATAAGTGTTGAATATTAGCTGCAACAGTCCACCCTTTGAAATATATGCAGTTCACAACCTCTTTGCTCCAACTTCAAGCTGAAGAGAACTTAGACAGACCATGAGCAGATGAGGCTGAAGGCAAAAACCAGAGCATAAGCTATCAGTGTTCACATCGTCATAGTAACCGTCACGCCAGTGGATGGAAGGGACAGAATGCAGTTCGTAGCATTGTCCATAATGTTCCGAGAGCAAGCCATCCACTGACACAGCACTGATCCAAGGGGCTCTCTGCTTTTCATACAGTCTACTATGTGGGGGCTTCTCTCATGAATACTGCTGCTTCCCCAACATCTTTTGTGAAAGAAATGACACCCAAAACACGGTTTGCTGGGAGACGCGGGTAGGGGTCCCACCCGTGTGATTCTGCCAGGAGATATCAACAAGAGGGCAGCTACTGTCCTACATTCAGTGTGGGTTACCTACTCCGCCTTCCCTGCTGCACGTCTGCAGTGGCCACTGCAGCGGGAGCCACTGGCACGATGAACACCCTCACACAGGCTTTTTGCTCCTCAGCATCTGATAGGAGGTTCTGCAGCCTCAAAGCCAGGACAGTCTGGCCCCTCCCGAAGCCTTGGTCTCTTGAAAGGACAGAACTATAGACTGATGTCGGTCTTGCCCCGCCCCAAATAAAATTATCAAGGATACATTAGTTGCATCCTCACCAAACAAGACCAGTCCCATGATTCATTGCATCCTAAGTTTGTTTTTGGGAGGCAAGTTAGCAAGACCGGTCTTACCAAGACCACAAGTACGACCTTCTTCTTGGTATTTACACCACGATTTATTTATTACATATTCTGGTTCCATGCCAGTTTGTACAATCTTTCCCCACTGATTAGGTGGTTAGCAGTATATTCTCGTTTATGCCGTAATGCCCACATCTTAAGTGTCATGTTTGTTTTTTATATGTCTCAGTATTTATATGCTATTTATTACTTTCTCATTTGCGCTAAGAACAGCAAGAATAATATTTCGCATCAGTGTACAACTCCATGCGTCATACATCTGAAGTTGACGACAAAAGACTTTGGCTTTGGGTCCGTCTTAGAAGGCACTAACTTACTCCTAATGGTTGACAGGTCCACCCACAACAATCTATCGCAGATTCTGTAGGGTTTTAAAGTTTTTTTCTATTGGTTGTCACAATTACCTTTTTTTTCCTGGACCAGCCTTATCACATGTGAACTCCTGATGCATTACTGTATACAACGGCATGTAAGAAGCTTGCCGCAGAACAGGAATCTGAATAACCAAGAACTGAAATGTAAAAATATATAGGAGCCCCCCATTTAAGTCAAACAGAATGACACTCAAGCTGCATAAACCATTCGGATCTGAAATGCCTTCTTGCAAGCATAAAATGAGACCTGTCCATATCTTCTGCCAGATTTTATTTTAAAAAATTGATCTTGCATGGTATGTACACATATATGCATCAGGGTTTTCTGCCTGAAGTTAAAATACAGTGGTACCTTGGTTTACGAGCATAATTCGTTCCGGAAACATGCTTGTAATCCAAAGCACTCGTATATCAAAGCAAATTTTCCCATTAGAAATAATGGAAACTCATATGATCCGTTCCACAACTCAAAAATATTCATATAAAAATTATGAATACAAAATATAAAGTAAAAATACATAAAACAAATTAACCTGCGCTTTACCTTTGAAAAGAATCGTGGATGGTGTGAGGGAGACGAGAGAGGAGAAGAGGAGGGTTATTTTGTAGGACGACTTTCACTATAATTAACGGAATCACTGCTACAGTATCTGTTGGCTCACTGGAATCTTTTTCTGTGCGACTTTAACAAGGAACCCATCCAATGACAGCATCTTTTGCCTCCTTTTCGATTTTGCAAAAATGTGCACATTGCATTGTCGTTAAACAGATTCATCGCTCGCACTGCTACGCCCTTATTCAGGTGGTGCTTTTCTACTAAATTTTGACTATACGAGTGAGGCATGCCGACTGAGACCGAGCATGGGAGACGATTACCCACAATTCCACAGCATGAGAAAGTGAATTACCATTGGTTCAGTTGTGATGACGTGCGTTCGGCGTCAAAACAAGAAGCACATGCATGCGCTTCCTGTTTTGAAGCCGAGCGCACGTAAAAACAAGAAAAACAAGGAGCGCATGTGTGCCATATGATTTTTGATGATACTTGGCGCTCGTAAACCAGGACTCGGTTTCCAAGTCAAAATTTATTAAAAATCTTTGCTCGTCTTGCGGAACACTCGTAAACCGCGTTACTCGTAATCCGAGGTTCCACTGTATAAGAATTTGGGTCACAGACTATTTGACAGACGGGTTTAAGAGTTTGTAGAAAATGATGCCATTTGTGATTTATTTTTTGGCTTCTTTTTGTGTTCTCCCATAATTTCAAAAGTACATTCCGGGAAAAAAAACCATCCAGTCCTTTGAAAAGGAGTTGCTGCAATTAATTTTTATTTAAAACTGACTTCAATTTTATAAACGGAAATGAAGGATAATGAAAAGCGATTTTCTAACTTCATCAACAGGTGTTTATGCACTACAGTAGGTATTTGTAGTATGATAGTATAAATAAATATAGGTACAAATCCTGTGCTAGAGATTCTGTTTGTGTGTTTTTTTTAAATCAGGATTTTTGTATAGTTAAGTTTTTTTTTTTTGACTGATATTAACAATCCCTTGAGCTGATGAGGAACTTTTGCAGATGACTCACCTGAAATTTTAAACTAGGAAAGCTATCAGGATGAATTAGTTGCTAGTTTGCATTATATGTCTTAACCTTTATTCGGCTTTGACCTTTTTTCTGAAAGTAGCAGGCGGAATTGCTGTTGCCGTAGTACGGATTTCATGATGGGTTGGAAAATACATTTTATGCTAAGAAAACTGTAGCCATAGGTTTAATACAAGCAGAAAGCTTCCACAGCCATTTTAGAGGGTCAAAATAAGAAGTACTATTTGCTAGTGTTACTCTGATAGAACTTAGTATCTGATGGTTGGCCTGCCTATTTGAAAATTCTATAATTATATTTGTATGTATTCATACATATTTTGATGTAACACTTATGGCCACCTCCATGTATATCACAGATGTCCTACCTTGAGAAGTACGTACTGGTAAAACTCGCATCTTCATTTTCAGTCCTGGGACAGTGTTACAAAGGGGTACTGAATTGTTCTCCGGTTTCCGCTTGGCTACATTAGCAGTCAGCGCAGTACCATGCGGCCACGACACCCCAAGATGGGTTTCTGGGCCGGTGAAGGTCATATGGAGAAGACAGGGCCTCCCGGCTGAGACCACGTCTGACGGTGTTATCTGCGTGCTTGTCAGGCTGAGTATCCGCGTGCTCGTCAGGCTGAGTCTCCGCGTGCACGTCAGGCTGAGTCTCCGCGTGCACGTCAGGTTGAGTATCCGCGTGCACGTCAGGCTGAGTATCCGCGTGCACGTCAGGCTGAGTCTCTGCATGTGTGCTCCGAAATCACTTTGTCGTTTGACCAACCGAGGGGACGGTAGACTGTTCACTCATATATTTATTTGTCTTTGCCAATCTAATCAAAGGAAACCCGTTCATTTTTTTACGTCCGGTGCAGGGAATGGATTTTTATATAATTTTTACGGTTTGTGAATGTAATCGGAGCGGGCAGGTGGCTATCGATATTACAACCTTGGGACTGTTGTGTTGGTCCAATCATGCTGAATTTGTACAAGCAAAGTTGATTTTTTGTTTTATTGCATCTTGTACACTTGATCTTCATTTCTCCACTTAACACAACAGATACCTGTAACATGTGTGTTGTGGAGGAGTGTGACACATGCATCTTCTCCAGTTATATTCATGCATGTTATTCCTCCATCAGCATTGTGGTTGTAGTGAAGTGACTCTGTATTTCAGTAAATGCCGCTGCAGGTCTGACCGTGTCTGTGTGTGATTTCCAAAACCTATCAG